TTCCTCTGGACATGTCCAAACCACTGTCCCTCCTCTGGACATGTCCAAACCACTGTCCCTCCTCTGGACATGTCCAAACCACTGTCCCTCCTCTGGACATGTCCAAACTACTGTCCCTCCTCTGGACATGTCCAAACATCTCAGTCTGGTCTCTAACTTTATCTCCCAGTTGTTCAACCTGTGCTGTACCTCTGATGATCTCATTCCTAATTTTATTCATCCTTGTCTCTCCTAAGGAGAACCTCAACATCTTCATTTCTGCCACTTCCAGTTCTGTCTCCTGTCTTTTTGTCCATGTCTTTGTCTCCAGAACATACCCTACTCACTAATGTCTTGTAAACTTTTTCTTTGACCTTTGCTGACACCCTTTTGTTACAAATCATTCCTGAAACTTTTTTCCATCCACTCCATCCTGTCTGGACTCTCTTCTTCACCTCTTTACCACACTCCCCATTTTCCTGGACAGTGGACCCCAAGTACTTGAAGTCCTGCACCTTTGTGACCTCTGCTCCTTGTAGCCTCACTGTTCCACCAGCCTCCCTCTCATTCACACACATGGACTCTGTCTTACTACGGCTGACTTTCATTCCTCTTCTTTCAAGTGTATACCTCCACCTCTCTAAGTTCTCTTCCACCTGTTCCCTGTTCTCACCACAGATCACAATGTCATCTGCAAACATCATCGTCCATGGGGATTCCTGCCTGACCTCATCTGTTAGTCTGTCCATCACCAGAGCAAACAAGAAGGGGCTCAGAGCCGATCCTTGATGAAACTATGCACTGATGAAATATAAACTTTTTAAATAAAACTTTATATTTTAGTTATTGATTAAACTGGACCAGAATTATCCGATGCTCATGTGGTTCTATCAGCTGCTGATGAGACAGTTTCTAATGCAGCCATCTGAGGGATGGATGTCTTTAAAGCTCATTTAGGATGAAAAACTTTCCTTTATATATACTAAAAATGTATTCTTAAAATTATTCACTGAAATTGTGCAGTGTAAATATATAAACCCCTTCTAATATTTTGGGTGTAAATGTGTTTTAAAACAGTTTAGTGATTTTCAACAATTGTTGACTAAGTGGAGCTCCTGCTTTCGTCACCAGTCTTTCACCATCCAAGCATGATAATCACCTGCTGACATCTGTTCTAACTCACTCTCAGTGGCCCTCGCTCCAACTATATTAAGGAATATTCAAATCAACATCAGGTCACAGCTGATACTGTGAACAAGAACAGTATCCACTTGAGCTATGAAACGATGTCAACACATTGATATATGAAAAGTATAAAGAGAACCACGATCAAAAGAAGAGTTATAGCTGCTGCTGGAGGCTCATTAGACTCACTACTGCCTGTCTGTCACTCCCTGACTGCAAACACAAACAGAAAGCGTTAACTTTGATTATACACTGCTGTCTCTGACTCTCTCTGTAAATGTGACAGCACTGTACGTGAACACATCTCAAAATGGTTCATAAATCACAGGTAAAGTGTCCTTGTCCTGTTCAGAGGTGAGCTTTCAGAAATTAGTTCGGTCCATCAGAACCAAAAAGGTGGAGCAGAACTCTGCTGTGCTGAAGCAGAGTGATGCATTCAATGTGTGTCGGACGTCTCCCTCGTCATTTACTATAATGTATTAACTCATTTTGGTGAGCCTCTTTGTGGTTAATTTTAAAAACTAACTACAAAGTTGCTGTGCGTCATCAATATTCTCTTCTGTTTGTATTAAAGTGTGAAATGTGTGAGAGAGTCACGTCCCAGAGGCAGTGTGAGTGTTGCAAAGCACGCTGGGTAGGAAATATGTTTATGATGTTTCTGAGTGTGAAAATGGGTTTTAATGTTATTTACCTGTTCTGGTTTGGCATTTATATTAAAGTCTCTGTTACAGGATGTAAACTGACACCATGAGTCAGAGACAGTCTGCTGTAATTATGACGGAGAAAAGAGAACGGCAAGGGTCGTGACATCAATAGGTGGTGATTAGCTTTACATAGTGTAGCATCGCTTTGTACAAATCATCATTCTCCTGTACACTTTTAGTAAAATTAGTGGACTCAATTTACTAGATTTAAATTTAGTAGAAGCTGATTCTGCTAAAGGTTTTCAAAGTTAGTGAAAATGCTAATCGGCTAAACGAAAAGTCAGTTCCGCTGTCGGATTAGTGGGACCGTGCCCACCACTGGTAACGGTGCTTCAGTGAATGAGCACTAAAGTGATTAGAGCAGTCGTCCTCCACTAAAAGAGTTGGGGGTTAGATTCCACCAGCAGTCACATGCCGAAGTGTCCCTGGGCAAGACCATGAACCCCTCGTTGCCTCCGATGTGTGTCCCATCAGTGCATGAATATGATAAAACACTGATTGTAGATCTAGTATAGAGCTGTATGAATGGGTAAATGAGGCACAGATTGTGTTGTAAAGAGCTTTGAGTGTCTTGATCAGATAGAAAGGAGTTATATAAGTACAGTCCATTTACCATTTAAAGCACCGTTAAAGGTGAGAAGACACGACAGGAAAGTAAAATCGCATATTGTTTGCAATAAAATTAATGTAAAATAGAAATCACTGACTATAAGTAAACTTTTTATGTTCATAAAACTATCGGGCATCAGCTCAGTTTGAAGGGATAATTCTGGGTTTGTTTTCCAACAGCTTCACGTTCTTATGTGACTTTTAGAACCAGAATCCTCTCACTGACCAAAATTATATGCTGCCCAAAATATCAGGAAACGCTTTCAGATTTTCCTGCTTCTTAAATGCTCAAGAGGACAAGAAGGTGAAGACAGAACAGCCGGGGGAAGCTTGGGAGCAACAGGTGAAAAAAAACAGGTGATGGCTTCTGAAACAGGTGAAGCAAAGCAGACTAAAACGATGACGCCACATGAAGGAAAGGGTTTTTTAGGTTGAACTTGAAACAGAAAATTACTTGTCGGTGAAGAAAGAAGTAGAATGAATTTAGTTGGCTTCCTGTTGTCGTGTCCAAGAAGAAGGACGGCTTCTATTACACCTGCGTCTACAGCGGTGGCACATGGAAACATGAGAGCGGATCAGTGCGGGAGAATGAGTTCGTATAGGAGGAACAGATCGCAGAGATGAAAAGTCGTCTCTTTGCTCAACCGTGTGTTGCCTAACCCTCTCTATGGGGAACCATGACTTTGACAGTGATACACACTAAATAGGATCTTCAAAGGAGGACTGCAAAAAGAGCGGGAGAGCGTCTTAGCCCCGCTTACAGGAATCAAAAGGATTAGGGTGAGTTTTAGCCAGCAGGATAAAGAAATACTAAACAAATCATGTGTAATGAAGAAAAATGGAGGTAAAATCTTTGGGCAGCCATGTTCCTGAATCATCCCTCGCTCTTCATCTTGTTCCCATCCTCCCTAATCCAGTCCACGGGTTTCTTTGTGTTGCTTGACGTCAAAGATGAGAAGTCGGTGCGAGTCTTATGGTGCTGACATGCAACAATCTCACTTTTTAAATGCTTGGAGATAAAGCCAGCGGTCCAAGGTCAAGAAGAAAGCGACGTAAGGAGTCGTGAGGGAGTGAGGGGAGGGAAGGTATGTCAAGGATATGTGCTGATATCTCAGGTTTGCAGAGATATTTTATTACACAGATGATCTGAGAAAGACTCTCTGAGCCAGACCATCAGATGAAGAGAGCCGGCTGAGGTTTCCCTGCAAAAAGATGAGACAGTAATGTGAAACATCTGCAGATTCATCCACTCCATCCTACAAAAAAACCTGGATCTGAGCTCCTCCTGCATCACTCATGAGCTGTAGATGTACCAATGGGTACACGGCAGCTAAAACTTTAATTTTCCTCATGTTGGGCCTTATTTTTTTTATTTTTATGTTACAAAATTGCATCCAGCTGAACTGGGCTGAGCCTCAGAGACAGAGGTGTTTTTGTTCACCGGATGGGAGCTCGAGCGCAAGAAAATTAGCTGGAACGTAGGAATGCACTCACAGCTTGTGTTTCTGTATGAACTGACGACAGAAGAGCAGAGAAATATGAGAGGCCCTGCAGGACATCATTTATTCTTGCTTTCGAGAGACTTTGATAGCGAATGAGAAATTCTCCACATAAACCGGTTCGAGTCTTCCAAAGACTGCAGGATTTGTAGGTCAAGCAGGACACAAACTCTAAACACACTTTTATGAAAAAGTTATGAGTACAAATTGTTTTTAGCAACGCATTGTTGGATAGAAAACACATGTCAGATAAAGTAAAAGCCTTTGAGGAAAGAAAATCAACCCTGGAGCTAAACTATTCCAAACTCAACAACAAATAGTTCGTAGTGTGTATTTGTGTGTGCGTGCTTGTATAAAGGCAGAGTCTCTTGTAATGGCGATCATCATGATCATAATAATGAAAGGTTGCCGTCAGCCTTGGATAGAAAAGAAGAAGGACAAGTAGAACTACCTCTGACAAGAAGGGATGACGTCAGCAGAAGCCAGGGCGGAAAACATTTCACAATGACGGAGCATTATCTGGTAATCTGTGTCAGTGTGTGTTGAACCAGTTAGTCAGGTGCTGCTTGTTGCTTTGGGGACATTTAACAGAGACAAGGATGAGCCAGCTCCGTGTTCCACCGCTTGTTTGGCAGAGATGCTGAACAGTTCCCACTGATTTCCACCGGAGACCGCTCAACCATCAGAGTCAGCTTTAAATTAAAATGCTGTTCTAGATATCCGTCAGCAGGAAAATAAGTCGCCAGAGCCAAAACAGGTATAAAAAAACCCCATTGCCTGCAAACAACACCCGTCTGCACACTGGAGCAATAAACAGGAAGCTTGAAGCTGACTCAGATGAAGTCAGCATGGACGTGTTGTTGCTGTGCACCTTTCAAGGCTGACTGCAGGAGCTTGTGCACATGGACACACACAGTAAACTTTAAAAGTCAGCTTCTCGTCTTCCTCACATACCTGTTTGTAGAAATAGCAGCATCTCTTCTGTCAGGGACTAAACACAGAACAGGTGCTGAACTGGGCTCACCTGTTTTCAGTTTGTCTGGGCGTCCCAGCAGCCAGAAGCTGCTCCATGTGTCCCTTTTTGGGCTCGAGCTGAAGGAAGGAGGGCAGGACACGGTTCCTTCCACCTGCACCTTCTCCTTCTTCTTCTTCTTGTGGATGCTGTTCCCCATTTTGTGGGGGCCAATCCTGAAGCCCCCTAAAGTAGGTCTACCATGCTGTCTCACTTTAACATCTGTATCCCAGCACGCATGAATCCCAGCAGATAAATCCTTCCTGCTGCTGATTCGGCTCTTCTTTCAGAACAAAACAAACCCTTATTGAGTTCCTGTGCTAAAGACCCAGTGACACCATTCAAACTGGCAAACGAGCTCCAGCTCTGATCAGACATGCAGATCCAGCAAAGAGAAGATGAAAAAAGGGCTGCACGCTTAAATCAGTCGACCATCTCCGAGCTGACACCCTCATGTTCATCCAGCTGCTGAAGGAAGCAACATCCAACACTGACAAGCTCATGTGTGTGGAGGAGCCCCTCCCACCTTCTGCCTGTGCACACACACACACACACACACACACACACACACACACACACACACACTGAGCTCCATCATACGGAGCATCAAATACTTCACACAGCTTTCTCTCACGCACAGCGGCACCTCCTCCGAGTGCAAGTGGTTGTTAGATCCTCGTGCTGCAAACCGTTAGAAGCACAGCTGACAGGTCCTGTCAACACAACCCGGTGGAGGAGAAAACGCAGGTTTCTTCGTGTCAGAGTCACACGCACACAATAATCCACTGACGAGAACAGAGACACATCTGTGGCGTTCAGCTAACAGGAAACAGTATGAAAGAGGGGAAAAATGGAGCCTGAAGACAGAAATCTTAAGCGTGCCACAGGTGTTGATAATGAATGGGGATTTTAAAAACGCACATCTGGATGTACACACAAACAGCAGAATCAGTGCCAAACAACTGGTTGTGCTCACATGACGACGCTCCAGCTGTGCATGAAGGAAACATGATGGGTGAGGTTCAGGAAAATGAAGACTTATCATTTAAAAAACATTTAAACCAGAAAACATTCACACACACTCTCTATATATGTATATATAAATATATATATAAAATGTCTTCAGTTGATCCAAAATGCTGCTGCCAGAGTCTTAACTGGAGTTGGTGGGAGAGATCTCCAGTTTTAGTTTCTCTCCATTGGCTCCCTGTCAAATCCAGAATAGAATTCAAAATCTTATTTCTAACCTACAAAGTTCTCAACAACCTAGCTCCATCTTATATTACAGATCTTATTGTTCCATATTTTCCTAACAGAACACTTCACTCTCAGACTGCAGGTTTACTTGTGGTTCCTAGAGTTTCCAAAAACAGAATGGGAGGAAGATCCTTCAGTTATCAGGCTCCTCTCTTGTGGAACCAACTTCCAATCTCTGTCCATGAGGCTGACACATTATCCAGTTTTAAAACTAGACTTAAGACTTTCCTTTTTGATAAATCCTGTAGTTAGGGTCGGCTTGGGTTTCCTGAGCTGTCCCTTAGTTATGCTGCTAGGCTTAGACTGCTGGAGGACAAACTGACCACAAATTTCACTCTGCTACTGTCTTTACTTACTCTGCTCAACATGTTTTGTATTTGTAATTATTATTTCTATCTTTAACATGTTTTTTTTTTGTCTTTCAGATACACCTGGACCTATACCTGGACCTACCATTCTGTGTTCGTCTGTCTCTCCTTCCTGTCCTCTCAACCAGCCGGTCAAAGCAAATGGCTGCTTGTCCTGAGCCTGGTTCTGCTGGAGGTTTCTTCCTGTTAAAAGGGAGTTTTTTCTTTCCACTGTTGCCACTGTGCTTGCTCAGGATGGGAGACTGCAACGAAGCCAAGATTCATCTTGTCTGCTGGATTCCTTAGATAGAGAACTTTACTAATTGGCTTTTATGTGAATGTTTCTGTAAAGTGCCCTGAGACAACTTTGTTGTGATTTGGCGCTATATAAATAAACTGAATTGAATTGAAAGGCATCACAATATTCATATCCACAAACTCATGGTTTGATGCATTTCTTTAAGTTGTTTTTTCCTCAGTGGTACAAGAGGAGTTACAAAATCAAAAATGGTGACCAGAACTGAACAATAACAGCCAGGTAATTAAAAAACGGTTGCTTCGCTGTTGTCACTAATTAAAATAGCAGTCACTGAATCCCAGAGTGGTGGGTGCTCCTTGGTGATGATGTGCACTCACTGCGAGGCTGTGGCAGGCCTTTAATTCAAGAGCTTCCGGATCAATAGCAGCTGGAGCAAAGTCGAATTGAGACGTATGATAAAAGAGACCAGACCTGAACTCTATCAGTTTGGAGCACGCTGCTGATATCAAGTGAAACAGAGATGCCTCGTAGGAACAGAGTGGAGGAAGAGGAGTAATGAAAGCAGACACTCATCACCGTTTCCTCTCCTCTCATCTCTGAGGAGCTGAGAGGAGATAAAGAGCCTCCAATAAAAAGCAGATTTACTGTTACGGTGTGTGTGTAGATGTAGGCAGGAGCTGCAAGGCACAAACAAATAAACTAAATGCAGGTGTTGGTTTGAATCTCAAGCTCTGTGGGCTTTCATTGGGAATGTCTAATTACGGAACATGATTGTTTCCAGTATTTGTGTTAAAGAAAAGATGGGCGTGTAGGATGACCCCCCCAGTGTTTCTTATTGCTGTGTAAATTGATCTGCTTGAGCACGCTCAGAAACAGCCTCCTAATGCAGCCCCAGCAGAACCACACCTAGTACTTGTGTTGCTAGAGTACTGCCTATCCCATCCATCGCTGAGTGCACTTTAGAGAGAGAGTGTTTGTACCGGCTGCTCGGTACCTCGTCTGCACCTACGAGCTGCAAAGCATCGTGCCCCAGATACATTTAACTGTAGGAGTGATCCAAGTGTGTCACTGTGGGGGCAGGTGGGTCTGCAGGCAGCTGGGAGCGTGTCTCACATTGAAGGTGGAGAAAAAAGTTGTTGTCAGGGAAAGTGACTGTCTGGGTCTCGAGACGTAAAATACCAAGTGTTTTTGTTTGTCTGTAAAAATATGAAGAAGTCTGAACGTGAAAGAGAGAAGGCAGGGATGTGTTTGTCCAGGTGAAGCTCAAGGAGTCGAGACGTCAACTCAGGGCTGCCATCTTGAGGTCAAGTCTTGCAATCACATCAAAGACAAAAGTTCAAGTCTGTCAATCCAAAAACAAGACAAGATGATTGTAGCTTCACTCAGGGATTTTTATTTTATTTTAATCTCAAAGGCGCAAGCAGATTATTTGTGACCCATCGCATCAAACCAATAGTTGTAATCTGATTTATAGGCAGCTATAGTGCACTGCTTGCTAAATATGATGGTTTTTTTACTGGACCTTGAAGGAAACGTCAGAAACATAATCCCAAAGAATGTTTTGAAGTCTTCTGGAGGAGCATGCTACAAGATGGCCGTGTAGGACTGCTGCTCCCAGTATTTTATCTGTAAAGCCCTTGAACTTGCATGCTTATGAACAAATTTGTCATAATATATTAAATAAGGAAAGGCCATTGGTGAAAGACAAGCAGAGTAAGTCAGAAACAAGGAAACAAAAGGAGGATATTAATATAGACACTGAAGCTAAAGAAGGAGGTACATAGGGTAACGCTAACACTGCTAATGCTAGTATTGTGGAGGAAATGGAAGACAACATCAATTTACAGGCAATCTACAAAGAGATGAACAATTTTAGAAAGGACAATACACAACAATTTGAAGAAACAGGAGATAAATAAGACCAATGCCATACTGAGGAGGTGGAGAGACGAGTTCTGGAAAAACAGTGGGTGCCATCAGTGGAAGGTATTTTGATCGAGCTAATAAAACTCCAGGCTACACTCAACTCACAACTTACTGACCAAGAAGGTCACTCCAGACCAAGAAGGCCACTCCAGACCAAGAAGG